CTTTTTCCAAATAGTTCAATACCTAAATTAACAGAAAAAAAAAGAACTGCCAGTACATGTCACTGAATTATAAAAAAAAAAAAAATCATGTGTTTCGTGAAGCAAATATTTTCCCGGAATGGCCGGGAAACGGAACGTACGTGATTATGTCCCGTATTAAATTTTCATAGATAAAAGGTCGACGCCAGGTTGTGGGAAAAATACGTTTGTAAGACTTAACATGTCGCGGCTTATGAAATATTTTGCGCATAACTATCGTTTAATTATTCAGAATGGCTGTTATTATTCAAAAGATGAAACATCGTATGACATCGATACGCGTTACTACGTCATGCTGGATCGCTGTAAAGAAAAAAAAGAAAAAATAGGAAAAAGCATTCTTATAACATAACTCACAAGTCATAAATATGGAGGAAAAACAAGATTTTTCCCGCAGATCGACATAAATGCTATGTATAAATCGCACGAGCATATATTTCATAAATAATGGCGAACGTGCTCTTCTCCGCGTCGCAAATATTCGCATACGATATGTCTTTAAACAGCGTAAAATAGCGGACAATGCGAAATGCCGCTTACAGAAACGACGCAATCAATCGAGTGCAAACGAGTCTCCGTGTTTGTTTAACATTAAAAAAAGCTTTTACCTGCTCCCGGCGATATTTGAATAATAATAATAAAATCAAGCAAAAAATGTGTCTTTTCGCGAGATTGATGCTTCGCTACATCTCGGGGAGCGTCAATTTTTTACGGCATGCGAACGTGGACACGTGCGAGACACACGCCATTGACGCGTCTCGATTTTTCCGACATCGAGAAACGACCACCTAGAATCCACCTCAAATTTCCAGACTAAATGTTCTCACAATGGAACGTACGCGTTTTGCGCGAGACCTTTGTAAATACCGGGCATGCTCGCGGCCAAATACATGTAACAAAAAATTATGTTATCATTCGAGAAAGAATACGCTGTAATTTCTCCGATATTTATTCAAGCTCGCGAGCTCGCGTAATTTCGAATCAATACCAATCCCCTATGGGTATTTTTTTTTAAAACCGTTTCATTTAAAAAATAATCCCTTTATTCCTTTGTTAACTGTAACGAAAAACACGATGTATTACATCTTGTGGACGTGACTCAAATATTGCGAACACGGAGGAATATTTTTACCGCAGCCTCTCGTGTTTTGTACGCAAAATATCCTCTCGTAGAAGTACAGACGGAACGTCATAGATTGAATGTCATGATCTGCTTACGCGTAATACCGTTTGGAATAACAGCAGCGACGCGATAATACTCACAGGTATCATCTCCTCGAAGGCGCATTTCTCCGAGCAAATAAGAAAAAAAAATGAAAAAGGTAAAAGAAGAAAGAAGAGACGGTAAGACGCGGAGATGGAGTTACTTGTCGTTTCTCAGCTCACGTTCTCGGGCTTTGCGCGTCGCTCGCCTCGGAAAATAGCTTTCGTTTACTTATTCCTCTCTTTACCGCTTTATCGGCTATACGTCGACCACAATTTCTTTAATGGTACAAACGTATCGATGGATCGATGAATTGGCAAAACCGCCGTTTCTAAAAACGCTCCGTGACGGAATTCAGCAGCTAACCGTATTGTCGCGTTACGACGTTATCGCGCGGTCGCTAGTTTTGCGCCCTCAGCAAGTGCCATAAATTTCGTTACGCTTTCGGCGAGCGCGGGGATCCAGCTCCGTTAAGAAAGAAATTTATCTTATCGTTTTTAAAATCACTCCGAAACTATTAAGGGCACGGCGCTCGTCGCCAAAGAAAAATCGCCCCGGATCCGTCGGTTAGAATGTGACATTAGAATTAAGGTCGCGCGAGTTGCGGGACACGTTGCAACTGCAAAGTGCAAAGTACACCTCGCAACTCCTTGTAACGTTACGACCGCGGAACGACAGATATCAGTCGGAAAACATTTTCAAACATGGCCACCGAATAAATGATGGACAACCGAGATGGAGAGAGAGAGAGAGAGAGAGAGAGAGAGAGATTACAAATATTCCCTCGGTTCGCCGACTAACCATATTTTTTCACCTTATTTCCGCGTCCCCAGTCGTGGTAGCCATTTTTTCATGCCACAACGCTACACTTTATGAACTCTGTGCTCGGCGCGTTCGTCCGTTCGTTCGTCCACGCGCTCGTACGTCCGTCCATTCGTTCGTTCGTTCGCGCGTTTTCCGTAACAACGGAATTGAACGTCCGCGGTTTATGACGCGCGGAATTGCGTATCGTTATCCGCCGACGTGCGAGAGACGCATACGCGCGCGCGCAATCCAACTTTTACAACCTATGTGAGTGCCGCTAATGCTTCTCACAGGACATCTCTGCGAGAAGTCGAATGAGCTTCGAATGAGATCCGTCGGAAACAATGTGGAAAACATGTGGCAATTATGACGACCAGCGCGAAAAAGATCTTATGTTATTTGCAACTCGGCGGGGGTACTGCGGGCTGTAATGGGGACTCGGGACAATAGAGTATTCGCCCGTACGTTAATTATTTAATAAATTATGTACGTAATAACAAACATATACATACACATGTCGATGTAGTGTAGTTTAATTAAAAATAAGGGAAAATCACGTTAGGTACCCAATCCCGATGTTACTTATCGTTGGTAATTAATCCCGGCAAGTCGAGACTGTGCCTCTTAAGGGAACTGGAGGGTCAGATTATTGAAAAATCGTGCTTGTTTTTGATAATATTTTGTGACGAACTGAATAAATGTGCAAGAATGAAAATTTTTGATATATTTATACAACATATGAAGAGTAGAAAAATGTTGTTCATTAACAAATACTCATATAAATATATGTCCACTTAAATTTTAAACGCGTTTTTCTCGAAATTTTATTGTTCAACTTTTTGCAACGATTTCTCCGAAACTGAGCTTCGTATCGATTTGAAATTTTAAAACAATAATATTTGTTCATCTGACTCTCAGATGAACCATGGACAATTACGTCAAAATATTTCATTTCGAGATATTAATTTTTTTATCGTAAAAGAACTGAAAAATTTAGATTTTTTCCTAGTAATAGCTGCCATTTTGTTAATTTCGTTCAATTTTTTTTGTAGTGGTTCACCGGATAATGATAAGGCCTCCTCAAGATTTCTAGCTAAAATTCGCTCTGATCGGACCATCGAGAGCCGAGATATTACTGCAAAAACAACTTGAAAAAAAAAAAAAGGATAGTATATTTCAGCTATATATATCGTATATTTATATGAATATTTGTTAATAAACGAAATTTTTCTACTCTTTATATGTTGTATAAATATGCCAAAAATTTTCATTCTTGCACATTTATTCAGTTCGTCACAAAATATTATCAAAAACAAGCACGATTTTTCAGCAATCTGACTCTCCAGGTCCTCTTAAGGTTCAACATGAAAAAACATGAAAAAACAACAACGTGAATAATCGTTTGTATCATCAAGATGAGATAATAACTTGAGATACTAACTATAATGTTACATCTCGAGATTCTCACCACTGGTATGACAAGTTCAACAGAATTTACACGACTAGTGAAGAAGTAGTTTCGAAATTTTTCTTTAAAGTTCTTCGACTTTTTTAGAGCAAACTATCCGTGTAACGTGAATACATCTTCATTCCACATTTGGGTATTCGAAGATACATCAACTCAAAACACTGGTACTAAACTGGCAACTGAAGTCACCGTGCCGGAGAATGCGCTCTGTGTACCGCACAACGAACTTAATAACAATACGAGGCGCTTGGTTCTTTAGCCCCTTGGTACTTTAGCGCAATTTGATATTTACGGGGCAATATTTCAACCTTACACTCCGCCTAACGCGCTGATTTATCGCGCCCGTGGCGAGAAAAGCGATGCGTTTTCGTTTTTTCCCTCCTTTCTTTTTTCCTCGATCTGCGCTTTACGCGCTAACAGGGTCTTCTTACGGAGCCGTGTATTTGCGCGATAGAGACGTGGCGAAATCAATATTTCCTTCCTAATAGAAAAATATAAAGTCTGATTCCGCCTGCATCGCGGTGAGACGGTGATTTATGGACAACGTATTTGGCAAAAATTCTATCCGAGCCGTATACGCCCGTTTAATCCTCGCATTTGCCGTATTACCTGCCATTTCGCCCGTATCAATGGTGAACCTTCGGAAAGCAGGAAATATAGAAATTGGGCGCAAAACGTAAACCTCCGCTTATATCTGCAGCGCGAGATAGCGACATCGAGCTAAATATTCGAATAAATCGACCTGCAATACTCACCTGCGACAGATCGCCAGGATCGCGATGAAAACATCCATTCGTTCCCAGCGTTTAAGAGAAAAAGCTAGGGAATTCCTTAAATTAATTCCTTAAATTACAGAGATTTATTATTCTCTTTTCATTTGTAGCATTCCGCTCGCTCGACGCCACCTATTTTATAACATCGTTATCGTCGCGATTATAATTACGTGGAGTTCATGCGTTATTGCCCGAACTGATTAAAAGCTTCGAGCTAAATTGCATAATAAAATTTATTTCCCGGGGCGATCGCGTAACGACGATATCGGATCTAGCAATTTTTTCCCTTCCTTTCATCGGACCGTCGAGTGATACTGAATAAACGCAAGGGACGCTATCGTCGGTGAATGCGTTGCAATCTACGTAAATCGGCGCGGAGATTTCATAGCCCCGACATATTTCACGTCGAAATATGCAAATTCCCGTTCCGCGGAAGCGCGACGCGAAATCGCGACGTCCGAAACGCGATTTCGAAGTAACGCCACTGGATGTGTCTTTGGCAGGAGTCAGCACAAAAAAAAAAGAAAAAAAAAAGAAAAAAGAAAAAATTCACGTTCCCATTCGATCGCAAAGAGCGCTTTTTACATTTCTATCGCGCAATTATTGCGTTTCCGAGCAATGGGACGCGAAAGATCTCCGCGGCATTCTCGAATAGGAATGCTGTGAAGAGGGAGGAAAAGAGACGAGATGGGCGGCGATAAAAATCAACGTGTTCATCAAAAAATATCGGTTTTATATTCGGCTATTCTATATACACGTACGAATAAACTATTCCGATGATGGTTCATACAAAACATTGATCCCTCTACGTTCTATAGGAGTACCGTGTGTCGGTAAATTTGAAACGAATCAGCAAATGGTTAACGAGAAGCTCCCGCAACGACGCTTTCCGAACAGACAATACTGAAAACATAGACTCTATGATATATAACGATCGTTCTCTTTCGAGGCGCGTAACAGTGATATATATGTACATTTATATATATACAGTTACTTTCTTCTTGCACCACAATAATCGTGCAATGGAGGTACAACGTGTCGTCGAGCCGTACGAGACTGGACAGCTATGAAATTAACCTGCCGACCGGTTAATCGCTCCCGTCTCACTGAGGTTCTCCAAGCAACGACGATAAAACAAATATAGATCAACGTAACGACTCGTGATAACAAAACGCACGTACGAGAAGAAACGGAAACTAACGAGTATGAAAATTAACGACTACTAGAGGCAAAACGCAAATGGAGCTGAATTCCCAAAGAAACGATGCGAGATCCTGTCCTCGAGAATCTTGCGAGAGACCGAGTGTCGACGTGAAGTGAAGGAGATGGCGAGTTTAGAATCCAACAGTCGAATATTCGTCTTTGTAGGAACAACGTATGATGAGAAGAGAGACCGAGAAGGAGGGAAAAGATGGAACGTAACCGGACTACGACGAGAGAGAGGGGGGAAGAGGGGAAGAGGAGGATCAGATCGCGGAACAAGATAAATGAAACTGCACGATCCGCGTGACTTCCTTATTCCTCGCTTTCCGCCGCTTAGTTGCCGGATTCCTCCTGCTTCAGTGCGCCCTGTTCCTCCAACATTGCTTGCAGTCCTTCGGGGAATCGCCCGGCGTCTAATTCGTGTCCCCACTGACGATACTGTAGAAAAATAACAAATGGCGGTAAAAGACGCACGTTCCGCTTCGACCGGATCTCGCTCGTCGCGTCGTGAGTCTGTGTGCGAGGAAGAGGAAGATTCGGACGGATTTTGGAACAACTTTCGTGGACACACACACCACACACACACAGGAACGCTTCTTGCAGGAACTCTTTCGTCCGCTCTCTCCTTTGCAGAATACCCGCGGCGTTTCGTCGATATAGTATAAGAACCTCCACCGGGGAAACGACAGCTTCTACTACCAGCTATTGATGTCAAATATTTTCAGAGCACTTCGTTAACAAGCGAACTTTTTTACGTGCCTCGGGAAAAAGATGAACGCGCAGCCAATCGATAGTCAACAGACAAATAACACGAGTTCTTAACTTCGAGCATTGTGTAAACGAGACCAAATATCTTCCACCGTTCTCTACGTGCCATCGTTCGAATTTCATAAAGATATACATATATATATATATATATATACATATACACACACACATATATATATGTATGTATATATGTTACCTTTGTGCGGAATTACTTGCAAAAATATACACGTTCTACAAAGAGATTTGTGCAAATAAAATCACCGCTCAACGCGACCATGCGGAGTGCTCGAATAGCTCTAACGAATATGAATATTATTTTTCGATGAAAGTACCACACACAGATGCGAATAATATTTCTAGTCTAGTATCGGCAAAGAGTAATCCTTTGTACTCGGCCGGAACATTGCACCATTACGAACAACTTAGTTTGCGCTTCGAGAGGGAAGGTTCGGGAAGTGTGAGAAATAGTGAAAAAGGGGAAGTTGCGAGATTTCCAGCTTTCGACAAATTTATCCTGCTTTATAACGTTCAAGATGGAAGTAATTGTTCCGATAAATCTATCAGCGCGAGCGAAAATTTATCTTCGACGTGTTCGTTTCAGCAATCGATGCTGAAAATTTGCTGCCAAATTATTCTCGCTGATGGACAATAAATTTTTCCCAAGGAAAAAGGGAGACCACCCCAGGCTTCTCTCCCCGCGGAGAAAATTCTCCAATTCTCGTTCATTCGTTTATGAAAGGGTTTGAGAATACGACTCACCATTTCGAGCTCCTTCCGCAAAGCGAGTACCGCCTTCTCTCTGTCTGCTACGAGCTCCTCCAGGTACTGATATCTCAGCTTCTTCCGAGCACGGCACTCCCTCGCACTCTGCCGGCTTCGTTCTGCAACAGAAATAGCAGACCCGCGAAGGTGAAGAGACGCGAATTCACGTTAATAGACGAGAAATCGATGCATGCAAAGCAGCCAATGGGTCGATCCCCCCGCGAAAGCCGGCCGAGAGAGAGAGAGAGAGAGAGAGAGAGAGAGAGAGAGAGAGAGAGAGAGAGAGAGCTACGACGGGGCGACGCTCGACTAAAGTTTTGACCGAATTCGCGTGGAGCATAAATTTCTCTGGTTTTCGCCGTCAGGCTGTGACACATAATGGCAGGCCAAGTGGCGAACATATATCACCGGTCTGCAAGAATTCACGATTTAATAATGTCGCGGAACGACACGGCAAGACGCATGGTAATGTCGCGGCATATGCGACCGAAAAGCGGAAACTTTCGCACGGCCGACGTTTACGATAAACTATAGTTTTGTACGAACATAGGAGCCGAATAAACGTTTCGCACACGCGGGAGGTCGAGCGAATCCGAGCGAATTCGACGTGAAAAGTGAAATTGCGAATCGCGAAAACGGCACAAACCCGATCGCAAGCCGGGCCGGGAAGCTTCGAATTCTCGGTTCTCTCTCTCTCTCTCTCTCTCTCTCTCTCTCTCTCTATCGCGCGATTCTTAAATTTTATCGAAGCGTCCATTTCTACGCGCGATATGCACCACGCGATTCTCTCGGACACTGAATTCTCAGATTTTCAATTCTGCGCTGCCCGCGTTCTAAGATCCTCGCACATTCCAGCGACGAGGACGCCGCCACTCGCGGAGAGTTCGCTGATTATACGGGGACGTTTGGAACCGTAAGTTTAACGTCTACGGTTCTACGGAGAAGGAGACCCGTAGAATTTCCGGGCTCTTAAGATTGTCAAGCAGATATAAGAACGGCGAATTTCTTCCTCTTTTTCCCGGAAAGTCTGCGCGAGATACAACAAATTTACGTCTTTTACGATCGCGGCTTGCCGAGCCCGAGCGCGCGCGCGCTATCATTCATGGCTCATCGAGCACGCCTTTTACGCGGCAATAAACGTCGGTCGTCTCATTGCGGATTTTTAAGGGACGCGGCCGCCGAGCCGCCGGCGAATTTCAGCAGCTCACGGCCAATCGTCGATCGGCGCGTGACCCGACCTCCGTGAGTTTTATCGGAAAGAGATTCGTCGACGTCGATTGGAGCTGACACGCACGATCGGCGCGGAGTCGCGCCGCGCCGCGCCGCGTCTGGGAAATCGATACCAGCACGCCGCGGAAATTAAGCGTTCTCGCAGTCAATTTGTGGCTCCATTTGGGATCTCGTTGTGACGGCCGACATCTGGACCGAATCGAGGTACTCCCCGGATAGGTTTAAATAAAACCGGTTCCCTCGGCCATGTATACGGTATAAAATGGAGCCTTCGAAAGTTTGTTTGTTTGTCTGTTTGTTTGTTTGGTCGTTCGTTCGTTCGTTCGTTCGTTCGTTCGTTCGTTCGTTCGTTCGTTCGTTCGTTCGTTCGTTCGTTCGTTCGTTCGTTCGTTCGTTCGTTCGTTCGTTCGTTCGTTCGTTCGTTCGTTCGTTCGTTCGCTCGCTCGTTTGCTCGCGCGCAAAACGGGACGCAAGAATAGCGCCGGAAAGAGATGCGTATACAATTTCCACCGATACGTGGGGTCCATCGCGAGCTGTCCAACGGATGTCCCTTTAAAATCACGGCCGAGGCGTCAGCTATGAAACATTACGGTTGCTTCAACAGCGAGGCGTCTCGACAGCTACGCCGAGTTATTCGACGATGAGAGTTTGAAGTTTCAACTTTGCCAAACCGTGCGGAAGGCGGCAGATAACAGAATCTAATGTTTCAATTAACACCGACCCTCCCTCCCCGTCCCTCTTTCTCCCTGGATCCTAATAGAAATATAATTTAAACTTCAACACGCGCGCGTATCGGCAAGCCAGCGGAGGGGTAATATTGTTACTCGCGGAAGATCTCGCCGCGAGCGGAACATCGACCGCGAATTGATTGTAGTCAGAGGAGAGCCGGGTGATTCCGGGGGGAGGGGGGGGGGAATAACCTATGGATCGCACGGGGTGCGCGATTCCCGGACAGAGGTCGGAAGGAACCGGAGGGCGAAGGCTGAAGGCGAAGGGAGCGAAACAGCGCGCACGTTCTCGCACGCGCGCGCGCGCAGGAGAGAGGGAGAAACGATTATAAAGTTTCCCGCTCCCGAATGAGAGGACCACGCGTTCCAGAAATAACCCCGCGAAATTACTCGCTGCGGTCTGTGCAACAGCCAAGCGGCGGCAGGGCGAGTTAGTTTCACCCATCTTCCCTTCCTCCTCCTCCTTCCTCCACTTCCAATTCCACCTTCTCCTTTGTGCCGCTTCCCGACCTTCCGCGCGGCTGCAAAACGGCGGAATTGCAAAATAGCTGAACTAGCCATATTATGGTGGCACACGCCGTCGACACGCCGCGCGGCGCGGCGCGGCGTGGATCCTCCGCTCCGCCGGCGCCGAGAAACGGCGGAGGACGATCGCCGTCATGGGGATGACCCGCGTATAAATATTCATTCGCCTGGGAGATAAACATTACCGCAGCATGTGCTCGATTCGCGTTTTCGAAATGGCATCGACGCGTTAGAACCGCGTCGACCTGGCGCGACAACGACGCGTTATCGCCGCTTCTATTAAGCACTTTAATCAAGCAATGCGATGCACCGTCGGGCGATAAAACGGGTGCATACGATGCAGCAGCCGTGTTATCGGCCGTTAGACCGAGGTCGCGTCGCACGACACGAGCGATATCCTTTTTATTTGACGCGACTTTTTTACATACGTTGTTGGATTTTTAAACGTTGGATCTCGGCGCGGACGAATCGGCCCACTGAATTGAGATAAGCTCTGCCATTGGCCGATATCAGCCGGGGTAATTAATTCGACAAACTTCTCGACGCCTTTCCTCCTTCAGCGCGCGCTTTCGCGGGTTCGCGTAAGATGAGTTTTCTCTCGCGGACACCAATAATTCGGTCGGAGATCCAACAGCGCTGACAACAAATGACGTTGATAAAAATTTCCAATTATAATCAGCTCGAGCAAAATCGATAAGCCATAATTTATTGCGCTCTCTGCACGGCAGGCAATTAACGCGTCAGACAACGGAAATGATACAAAATGCAATCGGATTAATAATTATTGATTATAATCATTAAGTAATCATAATTAATAAGTTATAATTAATTAATACATGCGTATATCTAAACATATGGAATACATAATTAATGCAGGAATAATCTCGCGCGGAGTCAACACACAATCACCGGTCATGAATAAACTGAACTGAAGTTACGCGAGCCGTATCGTTGCAAACTAATTTCGTTGCAGTTCCGGAGCCTCTCCTCTTTTTTTCCTCTTATGACACAAACGAAAATCCAATAGCGAGAAAAGTCGCGTCGTTACGAGGCAAAACGACGAGAAGAAATCGAAATATTCGAATAGTTGCTCGAGATATCGATACACCAGAGAATTACACCAAAGAAATACCGTAGCTGCTCGTTCACTCACGTCGAACTACTTACCGAGCTTAGCTTTCATATCGCTCTTCTCCGCCGCCTTCCTTCCAGGCTTGCGTCCCCTTTTGCCCCCCTCTTTCCGATCACCGCGAGATCCCTCCTGCGAATAAAAGGACAAATTAGTTAATTATATATAAAACTGTGACGTGTATCTCGTAAATATTAAATAGCTATCGGGCGAATCATCGTGCGTCGTCATCGCGCGTTTTCGTCTCGAGTTGCGGTCTCGATGGTAGCGTCGAGATGAAGAAGATCATCCATACCGTTCGGCGAAACCAATCCATTTTGCCCGATGGCTTTTGCAATTCGACTTTCGCGGCTACGTGGAGACTTCGATAAATAATGCCGCAGCGAGGCGTTCATAATTAATGATCTCGGTATACCGCGGATATACACGTGCGCAGGCCGCGCCGCGGTGACAAATCTTGCGCGAGGATCTGAGACGGCATTAAAAATTGAGGCGTTGCAAAACGCGGTTGGATTATTAGAGGCACCCTAGCGAAACGAAAACGCGCCATGAATAATTCGCCGCGGGGTTATTTATGATTCAATCAACTTGCGGTCTTTTCTATACTTTTACGCGCGTGCACGCATGCGCGCACACACACACTCTCTCTCTCTCTCTCTCTCTCTCTCTCTCTCTCTCTCTCACTCACACACACGCACAAAAGGCCGTCATAATACCGCTTGATCCGCAGCGGAGTTTCGCCCCCGATTAATATCTTGAGCGAGACACGGCGGTGTCGTTTTCAATGGAAACAAAAGCTCATTGTGTCGTCGAGAGAGAAAGAGCGAGAGAGCAGGATAGAGAGAAACAGAGAGAGAGAGAGAGAGAGAGAGAGAGAGAGAGAGAGAGAGAGAGAGAGAGAGAGAGAGAGAGAGGGAGAGAGAGAGAGAGGGAGGGAGGGAGGGAGGGAGGGAAAGGAGGCCGAGAAGCGGAGCCGCCCGTGAAAAGCTCCGGATGAAACCATCTCCTCCTCCTCCTCCGTTGATCGTAAACGCAATGGAGGAGGGAAAGAGAGGGCGTAATCGCGGTCGCAACGCGAACAACGATACAACGTTCTCTCTTCGCGGTTGCGCACAAAAGTGCAACGAGTATCGTTTAATATCTGCGCTGCCGAACGACGTCTGATAAACGTCCGCTTCTCGTCGCGAGACAGTCAGCCTTGGGCTTTACGATTGTCGTAATCCGCGCCTGCCAGACAAGAGAAAGCTTCGGGCGGGGCGTCGACAAGATGCGACTACGACTAGACAACCGGGTCACAACCTTTTCGCCTCCCTTGGTCTCGGGCGCGACGCACGATTTGGTATTTTTTTTAGCGAAATTCGGGCATAAACCGAAATCGTAACTTCGCGCCATTAGAATGGCAAAACATCTTATTATAAGGCCGAATAGTGACGAGCGGTCTCTCGTGCCACGTGTTTATTATGCTCGAGTTAATATTTATACGTAAAATATACGTGTGTCGCACGCAAACTAGCCTGTATTACGAACGAGAGTGAAAAAGAGAGAGAAAGCAATCCCGATGTAATGTGTTTTCGCGGCAAGTGCGACTTTTCTCGTGTCGTGTCCGCGAAAAACGAGCGCTGGCGCCTGGGAAACACGGGAAATATGAGACAATCGCCCGCAGGAAACAATCTCGCGGTCTTGAAAGCCAACAAAAAGTCTGGATCGGGCGAACGCGCGAACAGATAGGATACGCGCCTAGTTCACCATCTTCTCGAATCTCGACGTTCACCTGCGAGAGCCATTAAAATTTACAAGTCCCTCGAGCACGGTTGTTGCATACCGCAGCTCTCAGCTATGCATACGCGCTCAGGGGTGACAAAATACAAATTCCGCCCCCTTTTAGGACCGCTGTTTACCTCCGAGCTGTCCTTTCCTCTCAATCCTATCTGATATTAAATCTCCCCGAATCCCGTTTCCTCCCCCCTGAACACCACGTACGGCCTCTTTGGCCGTTCCTAAACCACCCTGCTCTGTCGTACACCGTGTTCTATTTTTCTCATGCTCTCTCTTGCTCTTCCTCTCCCTCGCTCTCCTTCGCAACCAACGTGTCTTTGCGCGAGATAACCGCGAGTTGATTCTCACGCGCGAGAAAATGCAAAAACGACATAACTTCGAAAACTTCGTAACTTCGGACGCGGAAATTCGCTCAACGGATTACGTGATAGATTGTAAATCGAGAACATGGCGTACACAAACATAGGATCGCCCCGCCCGCCATTATCCTTTTCACTATTTTCTTTCTTTTTTTTTTTTCGTTACATATTGCAGTGCGGATACACCAAAGCGGGAAATGTGCAATAGGAGTGTGTAAACTTCTCGCTAACGAATATAATATTCACTATGCTACACGGGATGCTATTGGATTACACGCAGGCTCCAGATTTTTGTTATGAAAATATACAGCAAATCTTTATATTTTGTAAAAATTTAAACGTTACTCCAATTACAACGCAGGACATCGACGTAACTACAATAAACAGTTTGATCTTATCCCAATAGGTGAAAAAATAATTCTTCCTTTTATATCGCGCAAATTTAAATTAAGCGTAAAAAATGTAAATTTACAATGAGTATTATTAACGTAACAAATATTTGAAATCCAAAAATGAGATTACTTCGAAAAGATGAAAACGGTTAATACAGAAATATGAGCGATAAAACGAGTCTATATCCAAAATAGATAAACTACGACGACGTACGTAGATATGAAAATACCCGAAAGGTCGAGATCGATGTGAAAATGATGGGTCACGGGTATAAGTTACAAAATAATTTGTAATAAGACATTAATCCAGGTTCGAAATAAAGATTGTGAATCAGTGGAAGATCAGTGGAAACCGTATCGTTCTGTGACTATCATCCGTTATGGAGATAGAGGTCACAAAAGATCGAAAGTGACACGTGCGAAAATGATGAGTCATCAAATATTAACGAATGAACTGCGGGTGATAAGGTTTTAATCTAGACGCAAAATAACTAAAACTCTCGGAAACCGCGACGACATGTGGCTTCTTATTATGGAGAAATTCAAGTCGATGAGGTCGAGATCGATCGATGCAAAAATAATGAGTCACTGGGTATAAGTTAGTTAATTATTTGCAACAAAACATTAACCCAGGTTCGAAATAATGATGATCCGTGGAAATCGCATTACACTGCGACTATTCGTTCTGGAAATAGAGGCCACGGAAGATCGAAAAGTGACAGGTACGGAAAAGTCGAGTCACGGATCATAAATAAATAATACATGAGTGACAAGGTTTTAATCCAGATGCAAAATATTAAGCTCCCCCTCCGCAAACCGCAACAGCGTAGGATTATGCGTTATAGAGATAGAAGCTACGAAATGTCGACATGTGACAGATACGAAAAAATCGTGTGCAGAATTATAAACCGTCGAAATGTTCACAAATATTTAATTTTAACAGAGAGATAGTCTGAATAATTTTGCTGAAATTGCAAAGATGGCTTTAGCCAAGTTACAAATTACGATATTCGGAAAGGAAATGTGAACGGCCGCGTTGCTGTGTAAACGTGCACACATGCAGGATAAGGGTCCCTGACCTCGATCAAGCTGGCGATAAGGATTTTCGAAACGCGGTCCGAGGCATCTTCGTTTCCACGAATCGAAACTTCAGAGAGGACTCTTTGGAAAGCTGATATTTTAGCGTATCTTAACACTGTGTGAGCGTCTTTCTGTCGCTGAAGATTTATTAATAAAATGACATAGAATTGTAACATGTTACTAATAAGATGTAATTGATACGTCAATTGGCTAGCATTATTTTTAAACATGGCTTTCTTAAGTTTTCAAGAGATTAATTGAAATTAGTCGCGTCCTAAGCGTTAAGTACTTTGATTTCGACAAGTAATTGTATTTAGTACTGATAAATTAGAAGTAAACACGTATAGGAGAAATTGAGACATAGGATAACATTGGCGTCCAATTCGCTCGAACACGTTTTTTTCTGCTGTTGTGAGAGGAATTATATGTTTAACTTGTCAGAAACTTTAGAACTGTTAAAAAGGAAGTCCCCCGGCTCTGAGAAGTTTCCACTAAGGGAGACGCCAGCTGCACACGCATACACTTACATACATGTTTCTAAATTGGTTTCATGCTTTTGATCATTTCAGTAAACATAATTAATTTTTAATTGCCAGTTACGTACGAGAGGAACGAACGGAAAAACGAAAGCACATGACGAACGTGCGCTCGCGTTAATTGCAAATTGCGGCTAAGCAAAAAAATAGAGTGTCTGGCAATTAGTCGAGCATGACGCTCGCTTCAAAAGAGATCGCGCGAGTGAAAGCGCGGAAGGCATAAAGCATCCAGCGAGGAATCACCTTCCGTATCGAGTGCACTTTGCATGGATACTTTACCCTCGACATTAGCTGGGTGTCGGCACCAGAGAAGAAGGAAAAGAAAGAGAAAAGGAAAGAAACCGTGCGGCAACTACAAGTACCGATCACTCGGAAAAAAGCTGCAAACGACAACTGTTAGATAATGACTACCATATTATGAGCTCATTATGAATTCCTATCATCGCCGAGGTATTTAAAACATGTCGTTTACACGAACGATACATGTAACATCGTTATTGCCTCGTAGCTCGTCGCGAAGAGTTACTTTTGCCGAAGGGTATGACATTTTCCAACGCGAGCGAGAAATAAATGCTGAAGTCCGCGGTTCGAACGTCTTTACGGTCACCATGAAATCCTATCTGGATCAAACGGAGCACAAACGATCCATCGCTGTAAACCCTTTCATTACCTGTCAGCTATCTGCCGACGTCGCCGTCTACGCCTGCAGCCTCACCAGCCTATCGAGCGCACTCGTGCATTCGCGACACATTCGCGAGCGTATACACTCTAACCCCTCGATCCTTTCCTGGCCGCGTGCGACAACCTATCATCGACCTGATCGACGTACATCCGATCGACGAAGAAATAATCCATCCGCTTCCGGGGCTCGACAATCGCCACTTACGAGCGCCGCTTCGACGTGGAAACGCTTTCCGCGACGATCGGAGTAAATTCGAACGCGTGCATAATGCATCGGTAAATGGCATGCCGAGAGAGAGAGAGAGAGA